TTCGTGCGGCTTGTTTATATTAAAGCAGTTGCGTACGTGTGCGAAGTCGCCGAGCTGCTGTTTTTGTTGCTGCACTTTGTAAACATTTCCATTTGGCAACGTTTTCAGCCATTACAGGAAGTTATGCAATGATTTTGCATTTAACTAAATTTGCAAAAATAAATACAGAGGTATTTAAGAGGGTATGAATACTCTTACTTTTGCAGGCGCAACGATGCACAAATTTAATTAAAAGGCGGTTGTCGAAATGAAAATCCATTAAGTTGAATTTAACCCGAGATGGTTAGCTGAGAGAATAAAACACACTTCATTTCTATATATATATATGTATATATATATTTAATATATATTTTATTTTATTGTTTGTTTTGCTTTTACTGTTTCGGTTTCCATCATTTCTTGTTATAGTAAAAGTTGCTTAGCTTGCGGTTTAGTATATTACAAAATTATTTTAGTGAATAACCTAAAAACATTCATAGAGAGTAGTGGTTGTAGTAGTCGGAACTTAGCTCACAATCAAACAATGTAGTTCACAATAGATAAATGATGTTCGTCCGCCGTTCTTTTGTTCTCCTCACTCTGCTTCCGGTTCGCAATAATCGGTATCATTTAGTTGGTATCAAAAATGTCTGGTTCTAACTGTGTCCGAGTGTGGCTGTTCGTGAGTGTTGATTTGGCTGTGGACTAGAGGCAACCGCTTGCTTTTAACTGTGGACAGATTGAGGTAAGGTTGAGCTCAGCCTGAGGTTAGTCGGACTGAAAGGGAATTCGTGAGGGAATTCAGTGAGTTACTGGTATTTAGGAGGTATTAACTGCGGTTCTGCGCTATCCTCTTACTGAAGTATCAAGAGCAGTTGCCTCCGTGCTCGCAGAGCTCGATTCTGATGTGTATTGCTAGTGATCAAGTGTTGTCATCCTTTCGTCGGGCTTTACTTTCAGTTCCTTTCTGGGGATGCATCTATATGTTTTTTCGGGGGACAGCTTTGGGTTACTGTGTGGTTGGGCTTAGCTTTATTTATCCGTACGTTACGATATATTAATGTTGGTATGCATATGTTTATGTATCTATGTGGGCCTGTTTGTATGTACGTATGTAGTGCGTTTCATGCAGGGCTTATACACAAATACTGATGATGTTTCTAAGATGCCGGCTGCGTTAGTTCTCTTTGATTGATGTATGGTATGTATGCTTCTTAAATCATTTCCTTTTTAGCTCCTGCGTCCTCGCTATCAATATGCAACTTTTCTACTATGGCTAACGACAATGCAACTACAATTTTTGGGGGTTTTCTAACGACACATTTAAATATTTTTGCAAACTGCTCTACTTTAAAATAGTTTTTGTTTTACGCTTTAATCATATGCAATTCAATTTCGGCCTTCTTTAACTCTCCTTAAACCTCCCTGTTCCTGTTCCCATTTGCCTTTTCCCCTTTTTCAATTCCGACCAGTAATAGATCGATCCATTTCCGTTTCCGTTTCCGTTTCGTTTCCGTTTCGTTTCCGCCAATAGGCTGCCCAAAAGTATGCTACACGTTTCCCCTGCGACCGTCAACTATGTCTTACTGTTATCGTTTGCCTAGAGTTAGAGTATTTGTTTAGCCTACCTCTCGATCTCCCTATTGATAGCTATGCGTTTGCTCATTATTGCTTTTACTTTACGTTATTTCTCATATATGTATATCTATTAAGATTAGTTTTCCTGGGATCTCCCGCTGCATATACCATCTTGGCTTAGGGCTTCTTTTGCTATGAAAAAATCAAGGTACACACTAAAAATAGTTAGGTTTTGTTTATCGCTTTAGGTAGGTTGTTTTGTTTTGGTTTCCCGTCTTTCCTCATTTTCACATTCATTCACTTCTTCGCCTTTCCGCTTCCGCAAAATAAAAACGTTCAATAGAGGGCCTAGAACATATACCCAAGTCTTGATACTACTAACATGCTATATTGTTTTTCAGTGCGGGTGTGTTTCTGTGTTTCTGTGTATCTGTGTTTCTTATTTTGCCACCTTGACAGCCTACAATCTGCATCCTAGGGAGTCGGGCGGTTTTTTCCTTGTTCTCGAGATGCCTTTGAGCAGATGAACAAAAGGTGTCTTTGAGGCGTCAGCAGGATGGGGCAACAAGTTAAACGAGCTAATTGGGTCAGTTTTAAAAACTTATTAGTTTCCTGAATGGAGTGCTCCGCTTCCGCTTTCTCTGCGCCAATAAAGGACCGTAGTCGGAGTGGGTCAAAGCGGAGTAAAAAAAGTTAAATGCCTGTAGACGGCTAGAAGACTGAGCCAAGTGGACGTGCCGGACAAAGCATTGAGCCACCAGAGCCTGAGCACGGACGAAGCCGGGCAGTGGAGATGGACTCCAAGGCTCTGCTTCGCGTTCCGAGTATTCTGCTCAGGACTCCTGTGCTCCTATCGTCCCAGGACCATGACGGCCAAGAAGCCCGATTCATTGGATTAATCTGCGCAGAATTTCGGTCAGGTTGATGCAGCTCCTTACCAGCTTATGTCCCCGAAACATCCTTTCCCGACTCCTGGCTCTCTCCATTTCCGGCTATCTTTTGCTTTGCAAATGTATGTGTGTTCCTGTGTATTTAGCTGTATTTAGCTGTATTTAGCTATATTTAGCTGTATTTGGATTATTTTATTTTAGCTTTCGTCTAGTTCTCCTTTATTACGTTTTGTATAAGTAGTTTTTGAAACTATTTTCCAAGTTTTTTATCATTTCTATCGCAAGTACATTTTCCAAAACCGTTTTTGTTGTTTGCATTTCATTAAATTATATGAATACATTTCCCTCTGTTTTTGTGTGTGTTTGAGTGTGTTGTTTGTCTGTTTGTCTGTTTGCCAGTTGGCCAAACTAATTTTCAATTGGCGAGCCAAAGAAGGAATGTTTTCGTTTTAGTTTCCCTCCGCTGCCTTTGTAATTGTGCGCCTTGTTTTTGCCCAGCTCCCTTTTCCGTTTTTTTCCGGCAAGAAGTTTAATTAATGTGCAAAACAAAGGTAAAAAGAGGCAACGGAAAGTGGCCAGGTTGCTATGACAAAGGACACAGCGGGCGAATCGAATGCCAAAACTATGAGAACGACGTTTTTGTCGGTTGCTCATCGCTCCTAATTAGACCTAGTTGGGGCTGCCGGCACGGTTGATGGCGCCGGCGTTTAACTGGAAGGGATGGGGCTCGGGTGGAGGGGGAAGAGGGTCCATTAAAAAGTTACCGACAAGTGGGAAAACCTCAAAAACAGGATGGCCCATATATTCTGGCTGCAGAAAAGTTTTACTTTTTCCGCTAACTGGGATGTCAGTGTGTGCGTGTCTCTGTGTCTGGGTGTCTGTGTGAGGCGAACTTTTAATAGTTAAGCGCAAAAAAGTGTTTCCTCTTTGTCGCTTGTTGTTTAAATGTTATTTTGATTGTTTCAACTTTGCATTTGCTTTCTGTTTACGCCAACTTGTCACTAATCTTAGTTACATCAGTTATCCTAAAATATATATGATTTGTATATATAGCGGGCGACTCCTCGCGATCGCTTCAAGGGGCCTATCATCATCTTTTTGGTATAAAAATGGTTTTCTTGTTATCGCTTTATGCTTTGCTTTATTTGCTTTTTATTTCCTTTCCTTCGGTTTTGTATAAAATACTCACATTCACATTTACAACTACGAACCACGTAACTACTTATAGATGTATGGTATTGTATATATAAACTTTATAGGTATAGTTATCGTATGTGTATATATAAATGTACTTTATATTTATGTCGTATGTATATGGTATATTTTTACTACTTCGAGCAGATCTTGGCGGCGCCGTAAAACACTTCTAAGTGCCCTCTAGCTGCCATCCGTATGTAATTTTAGGTAGAACCTAGAGGGACATTCAATACTACGCCTAGAACTGCTAGAGCCGAAAGAGCTGATCGAGAGTCGTACCTAATCACACACCCTGTATAATGCTTCTCTCCACCTTTCCACTCCTCCAATTGGTTTCCCGCTCCGTCCGCTAGAGTACTATATATTTACAACTTAGGTCTAGAGAGTTATAGCCTATCGTGCTAAACGTAGAGTTATAGTAGAACGACAGCGAGTAAGAAAGAGAGGAGGCAACACTTTGAGTGCTCAGAATATTTATGCTTCTTTTCCTTAACTTCGTTCTGTAGTTGAAAGAGCAGGTAGTTTAGCATTAGGTAACTGAATGAAACTTAGCATACAGCGCGAGTGTAGTGTCATTTAAGTAGGTGAATGAAAAGGAATAAGATGCAGGCAAATTGCAGTCGAATTAAATGGATAGTTATGAGTTGACGGCTTTCACAAAAACGAAAAACTTGCCTTGAAATCAGCCTAAATTACTAAATATATTGTGTGAGGTATCCCTCGCTTTCCGTTCATTAATTTCCCCTCTTAGTCTTTTGCAAAACAGAGTAAATTCTTCCAAGTCTTTTCTAAAGTTACGTTTAACTAAATCCTTTCTGTCTCTCTCGATTTGCTTCTCTTAAATGGACGTATAAAGTTCATGCATGCTTGTTTGTGTTGTCTTTGTTGTGTTTGTTTGGGTGTTGAGTGATGTACGAGTATTTATGATTCCGCTCGAACTTAGTTCCACGTAGTAGCTCGGACTAAACTTAACCGGGGGAGGGATGAAGGGCTTGATGCACGCTCCTCTACTTGCCACTTGATGCCTTTCCCATCTACGATTGTTTCTTGCAATGCCCAACTAAACCCACCAGACGCTCAAGCTTTACATAAGTCAGACCCTATATGTATACATAGATATCTAAATATAGGTGTATGGTTTATATCCGTATGGTTGAAGGAATGACTGCTATATATGTAGCCACGGTGTATATCTATAATATCTGTATCTTTTACAATTTCGCATTTTGTATATTTTATAACGACAACAACAACTAATTATTGCTTTTCGGTTTTTCTCGACATTGTTTTGCTTATTTTTCCATTTTGCATTTTGCATTTTCTTTTTTAGTTTTTATTTCTGTTTTTGACATTTGTTTCTTTTTGCTTAGACTACTTAAAAAAATCATCAATAATTTACTAAAACTCTAAAACAAAATCAACAAAACTGTGGAGGGAGAAGCTTAAATAAATGGGCGTCAGGGACTAGCAGGTGTACGGAGTTTGGGGCCTGGAAAAGCTGTTATACGCTAGCTTATTATGAATATTTCATGGTTTCCTCTTTTCCGCATGTTCATTCTGCTTCTATTTGTATCTTTATCTGTATCTGTAGCTGTATCTGTAGCTGTAGCTGTAGCTGTAGTAGGATTAAGAGATGTCATTTGTAGTTAGAGAGAGCTGTAGTTGAGTTGCGTTTGCTGTTTCAGTACCCTATTTTCGCCTTTCGCATTTCACTGATCTGTACTGCATCTGTACTGTAGCTGTATGGTTAGTTTAGTGTATTGAGACGGTGGTGCCTGTGGTGCTGCTGCTGCTTCGCCCCCTTCAATCCCCTCACGTCCTGAGCATCAGCAGGAGCCACCAGGACGAGGCGCCCAGCCAGAGCAGGCAGCTGATGAAGTGGCGCCCGCTCCCGCGGCTCAGGCCGTGGACGTCGGTCGCCGAGCTGCGACTGCTCCGCGCCGCTCCCTCGATGATGTTGTTGTTGTCCAGCTCGTGGAGCACCGGCAGCTCGCTGAGGTCGGACGCGGGCGGCGGTGCGGTGCGCTCGGTGGGCGTGGCCAGGGGCCGCTTTGGTTTGCACCGCCGGTGCTTCTTGTACGTCTTGGTCACATTTATGCTGTAGCCCTCGAGGAACTCGGAGCCCTGTGGGGCGATAAAGAGAAGGAAATGACAAACATTAGTGGCTGCGGCTCTGGATCTGTATATAATAAATTACGACATTAATTACATTTTTCTCCCTTTCCGACGATTTTTCGGCTCTTGTCCTTCCGAGACGAAGGAGCGCGAGGAAATTGAAAACCTTATTTATGCCGTTGGCAGTGCAACAAAAACGGGAAAGGACCCACGCAAGGACAACTGACATAGGGATACTCTTTTTAGACCAACGTGGAATTAATTAGGGTGAAAGTAAGCTTTTACCAGCACTGAATTGGGTACAAATTACGCTATAGAAATACTATGGTGTTTATATTCCAAAATAATCTTACTGAAATCTTACGAAAGAGACTAGTTTCTTAAATGGTTTCAACACCATATTTCTTTTTTGTATTGTAATATCAAAAAGATTCAATAAGAACCATCAATCTTTACAAAAACCCAATATTTCAACAATGTTTCGTTGCTCGATTTAACCGGAAGGGTTCGATTTTAATCAAAGCTAACTGATACTGCGTCCGTAAAGAAATATTTTCAAAGTAGATAGGGTAAACAGCACACAAGCTTAAGCAGAATCCCGGGACAATTGCAGAACAATGGAGCTCCGGAGCGGGATCCACACCCACTCACTCGATTCCCACGCCCACGCGGTGTTTACTCCTGGAGTCCCCAGTGAATTCACTGCGAAATTTTGTGTTTTAATTACGCTGAATAAATTTGTGTTCATAAATAGGTGGTTGCGGGAGATGCTGGGACTTGCGCTGCGGTCAAATATTTCATGCCCAGTCGAAAATCTAAATCTAGCGAATGTCTGCATTTGTATGAGGGGCGGACATCGGCGGTTGGTGGGCGGTGGTCGGTGGGCGTGGCTGACTTTATAACGAGTGTTTACTAATAATATTATGCAAATCGGGGGACGGCTACGACGGCGGCGATGGCCGAGCTCGTTGTTGGTTGTTGAATTTTTGAAAAGGCATTTTGTGAATCGTTTTGGGGACGCTGAAAGGAGGACCAAAAGGAGCGGAGTGGGATGGGGATTCCATGGGAGCAGCCAAATGCTTGAGAGACACGTCCACAGCCAGATCCACCTGCAGGTGTGGAGGTTGGAGGCGTGGGTTCCAGAAGCGTTCGCCTTGCTGCCACCCCGACAGACATTTTAATTTTAATTGAAAAGGAATGTGTGCTGGTTTGTTTGTTTGTTTCCACGGCCATTCAGGTTGAACAGCATAAAATGTGCAATTCTGTGTTATGCATAAATTTGGGGCTTTAATAGCTCGCTCTGGTCTCAATTTCTGACTGCCCCAAAGCTAGGCTATGGCTTTTCCATAGCCCTGCCTGTGTGCAGAGATTGACATGCTAATTAGGTTGGCCTGCTTTGGCTTTGGCCTTTTTTGGGGGCTCCGCTTTGCCGGCTTTGAAAGCCAAAGCCGGCCAAAAAAGTGCGCTACCTTATTTAATGCTATGCTAATTAAGTTGATCCAAAAAGAGGACTTTGTGTTAAGGAGTAAGGACTTGATTGCGCTGTGTGTAGAACAAGCAACTCCGGTCATAACTTGATATCAATCATTCAGTTTTGAGGGCATTTCCCAGTGGGTTGGGCTTCCGGAATTCATCGGGCTTAATCCCCATCGGCTTGAGATCTTTTTGTGAGTGGGAACTAGGCCGGGAACTTCCGATTCACCGAGCTCTGGGATCCGGCAGCTTTGTGAAAACTAATCACAGACTTCTTCAGCTCCTTTGTCACCTTTTTGCCGCTGTATATTTTCCGCTACATTTAACTGCCGTTCACCTCTTGGGCGAGCACACACTATGGGTTTTTTGCTTGCTTCTCTGCTAATTTGGGCGCTTGGAGGGCTTTTACAAATTCGATGGGCCTGTCCGTCAAGTGGGACTAGGGAGGTCAGGGAGATGCCTCCGGCTGAGCTCCTCAATGAATTATTGACTAAAGGACAACGGCAAAAAATGGCGGAGCCCTAACTGAGCCGAGCTGAAACGGCCAACAATATTTAACGCAATAGCACGGAAAATCGATGGCAATTCAAGCGTTGATAATTTTGCTCCAGAGCCTCAGTCGGAGTTGCAGCCACAGGCGAAACACAAAGTGGACGTCTGGCCAAGTCGGTGGCATAAAAATGGCAACAGTTCCCAACTTAAGCAATTTCCCACAATTTTCACAGTGCAAACTATTAAAGGCCGAGCCGGCAAGGCGGAGAAAGGGCACGGGAAGGAATCATGCCCATATGGGAGCATTCAGTCAGTCGATCTAAAGCATTTTGGACGTGAATTAGGGCCAGCTGGATGGGAGTCGCCTCTCGGCTTGGTCCTGTTCCGCCTCGCCTCACTGTGTGACCCATTAGAATGATCGTTGTCGAAGTCGTACGTGTGTTGGCCTGATATATGCGACTTGGTCTACGAAAAAGGGGAAGCCACCATCCACAGCACATCCACATCCACATCCACTCCGTACTCCATATTCCGCACTCCAGACTGCCGTAAAGTGGCGCCTAACAAACTCGAACGAACGCTGCCCATGGCCGCAATGCAATTGATTGCACTTTATAACGTGCGGTTTCCGGTAGACATTACCCGCATTTTGCCCCAAAAGGGGGGACTAGGGGGGTGGATGCGTGGGTTGGCCCTAATGTCTTTTCTGCCTTAACTCTGCCGCTCTCCCCGCCCCATGAATAAATGAGCACTTGTCTGGGTCCTGCTGCTGTGGGTGTGTGGCTGTGTAGCTGTGTGGGTGGGTGGAGCCATCAAATGGCAGCAAGAAAAATTATCCCAGATATTGTCTAGCAATTTAGCTGATTAAGCTGATGGATGTAAAGCAGCAGGACGAGCGAAATGCTCCCTGCGATTAGGGCGAATGGCGAATGGCGAATGGCGAAGTAAGAAGGACGAGATTGAGATGCCCAGATAGATAAAAAGGGTTAATGTGATTTCAACTGTGACAGAGCGGACGGCGACAATCCCCATCTTGGCAGTTGTGCAAAAGTGGAGCACTCCATCGCCGATATCATCGGGCAAATCGGGCATAAATCGAAAAGTCTGGCTTTAACTTACCGGCACCACATGATTCTTGGCCCCCCAGCAAATGGGCTTGAAGCTGCCCTTGCGTGTGGCCTCCTGGAACTCGCCAAATTGATTCTCCCAGTCGTAGGATATCAGACGTGCCTCCAGTGTCATTCCGGCCAATTCGGGCGGCGATGATATCAGCACGGGGTTTGAGTCGCTGCAAGACAAGACAGGAGATACAGAGCGTTAGAGGGCGAGCATAACAGCTAAGCTAAATAACATTATTAACTTTATTATTATTGTCAACTTTGATTAGGACTTCAAATTTATTACACTCCCAAAACGCAGTGAGTGCGGCACCACGAAAAGGCGCTTTGCCAGCAGATTTTCAACTTTTGCCCCCGAAATAAGGAGGCTGCGATGGGATGGGCGTGGGTGGGGCAATCCTGATCCCCTCGGTAAGTCCTGGCAGATTTACGCTCGAATTTTCGTCAGCGAAGGCGCGCGTCCAACAAAAACTTGGGCTAATTAATCTTTTAGATTTTCATTTGTGACGCGTCAAATACGCTGTTACAATTTCGGTCTGCCAAAGCGAAATAAAAACCGCACACGAGGGTAAGAAAAACCCAACAAATGGGCCAAAAGTGTAAAACCTCAGCGGCAGGCAATCAGTGGCGTAGTTCGGGGTTGCAAAACGGAAAACCCCGACCGGAAGAGTCGAGGGAGATGACTAATGGATTGGCTCATGGAAGTCATTTCTGCGGCTCTGTTTGTTTGCTGATTATTCAATTGTGTCAATCCCGCTGCTCGGGCCGTTCCCTATAACAAATATGTATAATTTGGCTTTTTAATTTGATTTCTGTTTTTACTTAGGAATGTCCATTTATCACTTTTAAAAGGCTTTTTCAGCGCTGATTTATTGTCATTAGTTGCGTTAGATTGCTGAGATTTGCAAAAGCGAGACCCTTGGAAAGTTCACTAGCCGTATCGAACACATTGATAAATCAAGCAGTCTAAAACCTTGGAAAACTCAAAGATATATATCCACTTGAGCTCCTACTGGATAAGCAGATAATCCATTGTGGCTTATTACCACCAGCCTACGTGTTAACTCTACAATGCTGAAAGTATTTTACTTGTTCGATTACTATATATGTATATTTGGATCATTTTGTATGATCCAAACTCTAAAAATTCGCTCTGCTCCGCATATGGATTAATGGATTTAATGTGTAATTCCCTTTCGGGTGGAAAGCTATACCCCTGCACCCCTTTTTGTCCACTACGCCACTGGCCTGTATGTTGTGCAATATAAATTCCTTCTGTATATTCATCTCATCTCATTCATTCCCTCCATTCATTCATTTCGTTTGGCTGGCTCACAGCCGTCTGCCCCTCCCCCTCGACATGCCCGTCCGCCCTTACAATTAGGCTAATTAATTTTGTTCTTTGCCGGGCATTACGAAAAATGTTGCTTTAATATCATGGAGCCCACACACATAGCGAGCGAGCGAGAAGGCGAGAGAACGAGGGAGAAGGAGCGAGAAACGCACATTTTCTTTGTGCTATCCTGCGAGTTGTTTTTGGCGGCTGGCAGAATCCTTTGGAAGCCGCAAACAAATCTCTTTTAATTAATTTATGATTCCACTCAATCCGCATCGAGGGTTGTGTCTGCGAGAGCCCAGCGCTCTCCGAGTGGAGAAAGGTGCTTGTGGTGGCAGGATAGGCAGGAGTGGCAGGAGTGGCGAGCAATTCTGTGGGGGATGGAGAAGGCGGAAGTGCCGCTGCAGCAGCCGCAACAATTTGCGGTGGGAAACACGAAAAATATTAATGTCTGCGGATTGATTGCAAAACCTCCCCTCTCGCCAGCATCCTCTAATGGCGCTGGCCACTTGTGCGAGTCCTCCCGCATGTCCATGTCTGTGCGGTCCGTATCCGTGTCCTGCGTCCCGCCATAATAATAATATAAAATAATATATGGCCGGCTCGATTCCGTCCATCTGTTTGCGGCAGTGCAGTACACTTGCACAAATTTACGCGCACTTCTGATCTGGCAATGGGTACTCTGCAAAGTACAATGCAATCTAGGCATGAGGCTATACTAAAAACTTAGCGATATGCATTTAAAGGTCTGAAGAATTCAGCAGTGCAGTGTAAAGTATGATTTGAACTTTATCCTCAAAACATAGTAAAAAATATATTGACAGACTAAGAACCCATGGAAATAACTTAGCCTTAAGTTTGGCAAATAATAATAATAACGTCAGAAGACTTCAAAGATTTCACGTGTTAGTATTTAAGTATTAAAACATGTTATGCATAGAGTATGGATAACTACTGGCTCTGTTAATTTAAGATTGATTATAAAATTTACTTATTTACTGCCATACTTGCTCAAGAAAATAAAAAGAGAATAAAAATAGTAATTAAAAAAAGAAGAAAAAAAAAAAACTTTCTCCTACATCCCTCTAATCTAATTGAATGCATTTCTAATTATACAGGTGCCTCTGTTAATTTAAGATAAATTATAAAATTTACTTATTGCCATACTTGCTTAAGACAGATTGTAAACAAAAAAAAAAAAAAAAAAATTTAACCTACATCCCTCTAATCTAATTGAATGCATTTGTAGAACTTTTCTAGCCGTGTATCCGTAGTGCATCTCCCTTTTACATTTGGTGCTTCGCGGTTCATTGGATGGATGGGGCGGGTGGGGAGGGGAGGGGTGTTAGAGGCGGGGCGCCAGGTTCGCCCGCTAATATATCCGGCCAGCATGACCGCAACCGAAGCCACCGTGACCTCCCACATACATATAATAAATATAAATGCAGTGGAAACGCACACAGATGGCAGTAATGTAAAAACGGGATAACATCCTATGGAGGATGTGGCCCGGCCCACCACTCGCCACTAGGACGTCCCGATGTGCGGCATCAATCGACGTCGTTTTAGCCTTATCGCCATTGACTTCATTGGCACTCAGTATAATTAAAATGATGGCCCAGCAGCAGCAGCAGCAACAGGATTTCAGCCAACTAGCCGGCAGCAACATTCGGCAGGACAAAGGATCCGGGAATCCGGGGATCCGGGTTCCGGGGATCCGGGCATCCGAGTGGGTTTCGGCTTGGGTTTGGGCAGTCACTGGTTTGGCATTGTTGATTATAAAATCCAATGGCACAGCAGCACAGCAGCACATCAGCACAGCACAATGCATTTCGGGCGGAACCAGCTCTAGGCCTCGGCCATGGACTCCAGTTTGAGCCACTCCAGGTCCCGCTGCATTCCTGCACTTCTTGTGCCAATCCGCATGCACATCTATTTCAACTGCGGAGTGGGGATGTGCAACTGCAGCTGCAACTGCAACTGCAAGTGCAACTGCAATGCGCTTTGCAATGGGTTTATTTATGTAGCGTTATGACGACGGCGCATTCCACTCAACACACAGGAGGCGGAGGGGCGTGGCATGGTGCATTTATGACCTCCTGTTCGCATGGGGGCAGAATTCAATTTTGAAGTCGAATGCAATTGCAATTGGCTTGGCATAACGACCGAATGACCGTTCTTGATGACAAATGAAAACTAAAGTGGGCGGCGAGGGGCGTTGGAAAGTGGGTGTATGATCAATCTAGCTATTAGACTGTCACAAGAGGGAGCGAATGCATACTCGTATATCAAGTAAACTTTAAATTAGGGCCAAGTAATTTCGGCAAGTGGCAATAGTTCGAGTGTTCAAGTTTCTGCGTTTTAAAGTAGCTGTGAGCGAGCTGTTTATTGTACTACCAAAATGCCAGATATTTGTATTAGAGTTTCAAAACTTTTTGAAGAGAACTGAAAGGAATCCTCCTTTTACTTATATAAAGTGACATTGAATTGGTATAATCATATTGAAGCCGAAAGCGCAAACGGCTTTCTAAGTATAAACAAGATTTCCCTCACCGTCGTATTAATTAACTGAGTAACTTTTCCCACGTCCCGAAGATTCAAGCTTAACAAGATGAGGAAGGCAAGGGATCCGAGCATCCGAACATCCGAACATCCCGCCTGATAATTGCGATGAGCCGCGCAAGGAGTATCGATAACAAAGGCAACGCGGCTGGAGCCCGAAAAACTGCGTGTGTGGAGTCGGTCATCCGATATGCAAAGATGAAGGCATGGCCAAGAAGGAGGAGTCATAAAGCAATAAAGGATATCATGAGCCTTAATGAGGCTCCCTTTTGGGCTTGGGAGGGCGCACCGCGCACAAAGAGGATATCTATATCACTCAGCCCCAAACAATTAACGAAAGCTGCGACCCAACGGCGAGTCAGGCACTATAAAATGAAGCCAATTTGCGTAGCTCAACAAACAGAAAACGCCAATAAACAAAGGCTGGCGCGGTGGGCTGGGAAAACAACCGCGAACGGGAGCGAAGTGGACGTGGACGTGGAAATGGAAATGGAAATGGAAATGCACACAACTTGAATAATTACTTTGATTTTAATGCCGGCACCAGATCCAGGCCAGTGGTAAGCAGAGGCAAACGCACGTACAATTAAAATTAATTTCGGTGGCCATGGCAAGTGCGTAAATTGTAAAAACCACTATCACATTATTTTTTCTGGTTTTCCCTTTTCGCATTTTCCCTTTTTCGCTGTTTCGCTGTTTCGCTTTTTCCGACGCGTTCCACTCGTTTCGAAAATGGTCATCGGGCAGCTCGGAAAATCAGGCAACAAAACCCCAAAACGTAAAACGAAAATTAAGCCAATAACGGGGCAATCGTAGCGATTCAGGAATCAGGCTCTGGCCAAAGGACTCCTGGAAGGGAATGAACCGTGTGCGAGTATGTGGCGACGAGGAGGGGGAAGAGCAGACGCCCATTGGGCGCATGATCAATGGAGCTCTGCGATTTCGAAGATGCACCGAGAGAAACCGGTGGATGATGCTGCTCTTAATCAGTGCATGCAATCCTTCCAATTGAAGTGCTACCCTGTAAAATACATCTCTTGTAATATGTCGTTTGAGCATAACTATGCATAACTCCTTCCGTCGCGAATCCTCGCCAGCAATTGTCCACCAACCGATTGGTTTCTCGCTGTGCCAGATGCATTCGCCAGCCAGTTGATGTCCTGCTGCCAGCTACTGCACTTCATCTATGACGCCCCACAACAACCGAACAACCGAACACCACCCACCACCCATCTTTCAGCAACCGCCCGCCACCCGCCACCGCCCCCTCCTCGGATGCATTGTGTGCTTTATGGCCTTGGGCCCTGACGCACGCTAACGACTTCAATGAGTTTTGCATGATGACGACGGCAACGAGGACAACGTGGTCGGTCCGGCCTTCTGCTGCCTCCGCCACCCGCCACGCACTCTGGGCAGCTCCACCTTCCCCACTTCGGTTGTATTGGGTTGCATCCCGCTCCGACAGAGTGTGTGTGTGGTGTGTTGGGCGATTCGGCCACAGTTGAAGTGCAAACAATTTCGGAAGCCCCTTGATACACTCGCCGAAAATCTGTGTGTATCAAATTAAATTGAATTTCAACCACAATAAGCATCCCGGCTTAGAGTCCATTTGGGAGTGGAGAGGGGATTGGTGGCGTTGGTGGCGCTGGTGGCGCTGGAGGAGGTTCTGATTGCGAGGATACCGGTTGGCATTTGCAAGTGGCTTATAATTACATTAGTTGCAGACCAATTGAGCCCCAATTTGGCCGCCCGATGCTGCCGGCTACGACCTGTGTGCATCATTAGCTTATCATTCAGCGTGGCATGCCGAGTGGGCACGAGGCAGCGGTTGTTTATGGCCACTGTTGTGTGAACGAGGAGATAAAAAGCATCAATTTGGAGCAAGGCTTTTTCCGATGTCTGGTTTGCTGTTTGTTGTATTTTAAACAAATCGAATGCTAAGCTGTCCAATTATCTCCTGCATTTCCAATTCAAATTTAATGGCGTATTGTTTGAGCAGCTCGATGTTCTTGCTCCCTTCCTTTTCCTGCTTAATTACCGCACACTGGCATTTAAAAGGACTAACAAGTACCACACATACTCCTACGCAGCACCCAATCCTGTGGCAAGTGATGCTATTGTTTCGCCTGTGCTCGCCTTCTATCATTGTTTAATTAAACCTGAAGCGTGCAACATGCGCTACCTGCGGGCACATCTAGACATAGAACAAATAGGAGCCGCAGTCCTCGCCAATCCTCACTGCGTTACCACCCCACCACCCACTTAAAGTTGGGACTGTTGCACTTCCCTTACTCCTGGTCTTTCACCCGCTTGTTGTCGTTCGGGCTTTCATTATGAATTTTAATCCGCATATCGCATTCGCACTTTCGGCTGCAGGAGCTTCAGACCCGCCCCTGGACCCCGGACCCGGACACCAAGCCCTATCCCAGATCAGATTCGAATTCCGGGCCGGTGGAGGAGCTCCTGCCCGTCGCCGGACATGAAGCGCTACAAAATTGCAGTGGCCATAATAACTGACCAACAGCAATAATAAGAACAACAATGGCTACAATGCGGGGAGCAGGGAGCAGGAGCATTGTATTAAACAAACAACAACAAGCGCGTGAAACAACAAGGCCAACAATAACACAGGCGGAGCTGGCCTGAACCCGTACTCCTCCCGACTTCCGAGTTCCGGCTCCCAGCTCCCGGCTCCGGCCGTCCGTGGCAGTCCCATAACGACAGACAATTGCAAATGACTTTATCAATTCATGTCGATTCGGGTACACGCAGTTCAGTTCAGATGTCGTCGGGCGGACGGAGGGGGGATGCGATGTTTGGGTCCATGAGGCCATGAAGTGGACATTGTCTGGACAAAAGCCAGTGGATGCGCCACGGGTGTCCGCTCCGCAATCACTTACAACAAAAAGCTGTAGGCACACAAAGCCGGGGATGGTGGGTTCGATTGTCCGGGCTTAGTGCCATGGAATGCGACGGGTGGTCTACTGAATGTGCGCACTACTAACCCGTTATCAAAGACAGTGATTAGCACTCCTTAGCTTCCATCTTGTCCGAAACCAATGAAGACTTAACGCTCACTTTTCATTCAAATGTAGTTCCAACCAGCCGAGTGCCTCATTTACGTGGCCATGTTGTCCGTACCACCTTTTTGCCGGGACCCACCGTAATCCGTTTATGGCGTTTACTTTGATTTGCGGTGTTTCTCCACCACGGCAGAGCCTGGCAAATTATCTTTGATTCGGCTTGATTCGATTTGATTCGGCCCTGGCCTGCGCCAATAGGAAGTGATTAATAGGGCGTGCCTCCTCGCCTCCTTACTTAATTTCGACTAATTTTCAGCGCACGCTTTAATACAATATTTATGGTCCCGGGCGGATTCATCCCAGACCGCTGGGGCTGCACTGCGGCAGCCATCCAAGAGTCAAGTGGCGGGTGGTGAGCGATGGGGGTTAAGGGACCCTGAATGGACCCCGAACGACTGCTTGGATGTCAGTGGATGCCAGCGAGGACGACTCCTGCGCGCTGTTTATTTACCACTTGACGGTAATAGAAATCAATATTTTCTAAATAAAGCGAGATCGTGGGCGGCTGCTGTCTCGTAATTTATTTTTCCACATTCACAATTCTCAATTAGAGCGGAGCCGGGTGCAGTGCAGTGCTCAGTGCTCAGTTCATTTTCCGATTGTTTGTTAGGCAAATACTTCAGAATTGAGAATACCCGAGTGCGGCGACGAGGAGCTCCAGTCGACCTCCTGGCCCCACTGGCACTTCCTATGCTTCCTATCCTTCCTATCCTGGCGCTCTGCGAGTTCGTTAGGTGATTTGGTTATGCAACAACATCATTAAATCACCAATTACTTTAGTCAACAGAGGAATAAACCGAATTTCCTTCTACACAAGCCGGGTGCCGACTACGTCGAGTGGGCGGAGTGAAGAGCACGGGTGGAGGAGACGAGCTTTGGAAGCTACAATGGATCCAAATTGAATGTGAATGGCGGACAAATTGATTGGGCGAGGACCTTAACGTCTCCATCTGGGCGATTAATTATAAAGTGCACGTATTTATACCTTGTTGGTTAATAACCCTTAAAAAGTTTCCTCCCTGTGCCTCCGAATAATGAAATCCATTTCCCTGAAATATTCACGCTCTCCATGAAACTTACTCATATTCGGAATGTGTCAATATTCATTAGCCCGGGATCGGCATCCGAGTCCGGCATTCGACCACCCAGTATTGTCGGTGCACTTATGATGGGCAGATGGGGCAAAAGGAAAATAAGGAAAATGTGTTACTTACGTTGCCAGTTGCTCGATGCCAAGCGAGTGCAACACGGTGGGCAGACTCGGCAGTGAGTGGCACGTTGTCAGCTTCTTCTGGCGTGGATAGTAGAGTGTCAGCACCGTGCAGCTTTCTTCCTTCATGGTGAGTCCACCTGTGCGGGAGGAGCGAAAGGAGGGTTGGAGTCATAAGAAATGCACCAGTGAAAGGCAAAAAACAAAAGCGGCGCTTTCCCGAGCCCATTCCCATTCCCAATCCCAATTCCCGTAGAATGCAGGAGGTGTCACCAGTGGAGGGGGACCCCATCCTGCCCTGGACTTTCGGCGATTCCCTCCGGTTCAAGCTGTTCCGGCTTGGCTGGCTGGCAACAAAGGACGAAATTAAGCGGCCGCTGCAGTTGGTGAAACAGCAGTGAAACAGCCAAGGTGCCATCATAATAATATTGCAGTGGAGACAGACTTGATGCTGATGGCTTGCAACAGAACTGAACTCAACAGCCCAGAACAGAACGGCGTCGCCCATTTGCTCCTGGCTTTATTTGAGCATCGCTTCAGACGGGCAACGCTTTATTTTTCCGGGCGCACGCCTCACTGACTTGCTCACTGTGTGCGGATCTATCTGGTTCTGCTCCATCCTGGTCGGTACTACATCATTACGGTTGTCTATTAAGACTCTGTGTGTCTCCATTGAGAGCTGTCACCCACTTCCAGGTTCCGCCTCCGTATTGTGTAGATTGCGTTTGAATTTGTGCAAGCAAGCAAGAAAGTCAAATTTGCGTTAGGTGCTTTTATTTTCTCAGCTCTACGGCGGAATTAATGGGCTGCAGTGAGGCACCTGGTATATTATATTATAAAAACTCTTTTAGCAACAGAAACATAATCGCATCTTGAAGAGATCTAGTTAAAATCATGATTATTGGATACTAAATTGTTTCGTCGGAAGCGCAAAGCTACGGCATCATTGTCCAGTTAAATTACTAAAATACTTCTAGCGCCTTCCTACGCGCTTCTCATTGAATCGAGTCCGGGTTATTCTCCACCCTTCAAAATCAGTTCTTTCCATTATCGTTGTCTGTTGTGTCAGCCTCACATTTTGCCATCTTCCCGTATTCCAATCTCATTAATAACAACCTCTATCCAGACTGCAGCATGCCATTGTCCGCACTGTCCATTTCGTTTGAGTCCTGAGCAGCTGTCACAACAGGAGCAGAGCAAGACCAGGACAACTCCCACTACAACACCTGGCAGCCCACCCGGCCCATTGCATCCCACTCCGTACCGCTCCATGCCGTGGCTAAGTGAAATGTTTCACTGTCTTGGTTTATGTATTTTACAATGACGTGGCTGCTCTGTCTTCGCCGGCAGGATCCACCTGCTCCCCCTCCCGAGGAGAGTGGTCGGCGCCTTTGTCTTGCGCCATCGTGTGCAACGGTTCGACCTGCTATTCTGGTATCCGCCTGCTATCCTCCCCGACCACCGCCTGTCCCGCCTGTCCCATATCGTTTGGCTGATTTAAATGTGTCATAACGACGATTGCTCACCGTTGCCACTGGCTGTTTACACAGCCCCCTCCGCCCACGCCCCTGTTTACACTTCAGCGCCATCGGCAATTCTATAGAACATTTTCGCTCACGACAATGTTGGGACTTCGTCCTCGCCTTTTACAATTTCCTATATACTGAATACTGCCTTTTTTGCAATCTTTATGGCCGTTTGGGCTGGGGCGCGCTTTCTTCGGTGCAGGAGCATGTATATACTCGTATACTCCCCGAGCACTTACCCAGGGTAATTGCCTTTCGTGACGAACTGTCATAAATGCATTCGGCGATGAGTCTGTCCCCGGGCATGGAATGCACCGATTGTGGCAGACGTCGAAAGTCCTGATAGGCAACATCTATATTGCTGTCGTGTGCAATTGGCGGCAGCTCCTCGGTTTGGCGTATCTGGAAACGGGGTTAGGAGCAGAAGTTAGCTCATTAGCATGGCGCTTCGGGTGGCTCAGTATGTCAGGGATATGGAAATCCAAGGGCACTCACCTGGCGTAACTTGACCTCCTTGCCGATCTGGTGGGTGCGCATCATCACCGCGAATATGTTGATGCCCTGCTGGGGGAAGGCGTAGCCGGTGCAGTCCTCGATGCACTGCCCCTCGGAAACGACCCGCTTCTGGCCCGGCGGGATGATGTGTCGCCAGTTGGGGTCCATTCCTGCAAAGAGAGTTCGGTTCAGTTGGGCTTCAAAAACGTTTCAGTGCTTTTAATTAACGGTTCGCCGGGGTTCGAGCGAGGAGGTGCTGCTAAAAGCTGCCTGGTTAGCGACAGATCCCGTTCCGCCCGTGAAAGCGGAAAGCGGAATGTGGCATGTGGCATGTGGAATGTGGAAGCCCCAACCTCGTTATCATCGCTCATCAGTGTCTCTCCAACGCCCACAGCCATCCACAGACACCCACAGCCTGCACTCGACACTCTATTTAACTTTGAACGCTGATTTTTTAATTCGATTTGTCGCAGAACGTGTAATTACATTTTAATTGCTGCTTTTGATGTTTTAACAACTTTGTCAATGCAAGGCAGCTTACCACCACCCAACCACCCAGCCACCCATATATCAATTAGGAGAAAGCTCTTTACTTCCATGAGATTCTTCACAAATCAAATTTTGCATTTTCCAATTTTAGGGTGCTCCTGCTGGCCCCACGTTGGCTCAATTAGTTAAATGTTGTGGAATATTGTTCATACGCAGGATTCCCACTCCCCGGCCACTTCCCATCCCAGCTCCCAGATCCGATGCTCCCCACACTCAATTAGGGCCTCGTGTCGCCTGGCCTGGTGAAAAAATATTTAAAATTCATGTGCCACATATAAATTTGCGCTCCTTCCCCCGGCTGTTTGGCATTTCAATTGCTGTGCGTGGGAGGCGGCGGAATCGGGAGTCCGGAGTCGGGAGTCGGGGGTCGGGGTATAGTATGCCAATCAAAATACTCGCGGGAAATACTTGGCATTGCTGGAGCAGCCCATTTCTGAATTCAGCTGGCAATTCCATTTTTGTGCTTCGCGCTGCTCTCCTATTGGGCGGCCGCGTGAATCTGGGCTTAAATGTTGTTTAAATCCTGCATCCTTTCAAAGCGATTAAGCCAAAGCGATCGATGTGTTTAAAGGGGTTTCGCATCCTTATGTTTTTGGCAAGCATGTTAGCTTGTTGCCATCGATTTCGCTTATATGGGAAGCCAATTCAGGCGCTGCATTCACTTTCTTATTGAATATACGATTTAAGATTAGTTTGCAATTGCATTAATTATTTTTTCATTGATTTCCGGCTTTGTGTTTACAACTCTTCGAGCCAGCTGCCACATTCCCATGCCGCTGACCTACTTTCCTGCCGCTCCCTTTTCCCGCTCGGGCTCATCCGCTTTAATCCCATTGAACATACGTAAAAATATTAACTTTAAAGCCCTTTGCATAAAATATCCATTTGGCTGGCCGTTGTGTACGCCTTTTTCCAATTTAACCACCTCAACGGGCGGAATATGGCATAATGAATTGAATTTTACGCCCGCCGATACGCGACTATTTCCCCATATCCATAACTATGTGCACGCTCTATGCGTGGGGATATATGTAAATTTGCTTTGCATATTTGCCTGCGAGATTATTTCTATTAATTTTCATAGTCGCCACCGAATGGGTTTTGGCTTTGTCATGTGCCAGGGAATCAATTTTCAATTACCGAAAAAATTGTTTAACTATGCCGAGGTGGCTTTAAAAACTTTCCAGCCAATAGCTCCTATTTTTTGGTCATTTCACAAGTGTCATGCGACCGAAATCAATCAATCGACCGGGCGAGGGGAGTGCGCGTGTCAGGACTTTATGATACCCATACTAAAGCTCTCTATCATCAATTTAATTGAAAGTTACGATTCATGCGAGCGATGAGCTGTCGCTTAGGAAGTTTGGGCTCCTTTACGGGAACGCTTGCGTGAAAGTCGCCAGAAAGTTTTGCGGCCATCCTTTAATTGGTTTCCATTAACTTTCAATTTGATCAGTCCATTTGAATATTATCAAAGCCCGCAGAGAGCTCTGCTGTGAAATGGCTGGCCAGGCCATGGGAGTTTCCACTTCGTCCGGATTCATTTCATTTCGTTTCGTTTCGATTCAATTCCATTTCCGTCTCTATTCCTCTCAATGCGACTCTGCAAATTTCCATTCATTAAATCAAAATTCAATATTGGCCATGCGAAGCATGACGAAATTCGCCCAAATTCGGCATGGCCCAAAAGCGAGGGGCGGGGCGATTGGCTCTATTTCTATTTGATTTGGCCCAAAGCGCGGCGGGGACAAGCTCGCTCGCAATTCATAACTACACATATTTTTCAAATCGATATTTAACGCTGCCATCCAATGCCATCCAATGCAGTTGCCGGGGATTTCGGCAGTTGCATGTTGACAGCCAGCACACGGTGAATGGCAAATGGCAATGGCAAATGGCAGAATGCAGAATGCAAAAATGTCCGATTGCAACTTTTCTAATTATTTTAAATGGCAATTTATGTCAAAGCGTCAGCTCACTCACTTTATGTCCAAAAAGAGGGAACGATTTGATTAGCGTCCATGGGAGACACTGATATCGGCCATAAACTCGTATTTGTATATTTTGACGCCAAAATTGCTGACTAAAACTCGGTCACGAAATCAAATTTCATATAAATATTTTTGGGTCAGGTAAGCGCTGTGGCAGCGTCTAAAATTTATTCCATGCATTGTGTATTTTCCCGGCCAACTTAAAAGGCACTTGTATGCTTTGATTGAGAGAGATTTGTGCAGCTGAATGTGCACTTGCATGTTCATTAAGTTTCTATGGCAATATCTATACAAAAATTTGCGAAAATATTTTTTAACTTGCATGCTTTTCATTTATTAAAGTAGTAATTTGGCAATGAATCGCTTTTCCTCCCTCCTTTGCGTAGTAAACTTTTGTAGAAATGTCCATTTCTGAAGACCGACTCTTCATAACTTTCCCTTATTTGTCAGCAATGAGTCAACCCTATGAGATCAATGGATGTTCACTCATTTTCCGCTGGGCTTTGAGCTGCCGATTACAGTCCCCAAGCAGGCTTAACATGCCCAATCTCATTTGTTCCGCCCCACCTTCCATGGAGCCATCCCCATCTCCATCTCCAAGGTGCCATAAAAATTCGCCAAGCCGCAACATTAATCACAGATTCGTTGCATACTCCAGGGCGCTATATCAATAACCAATTAAATTGAAATTAAATTTTGCCGCAGCCAGCCAGAGCGAGATGGGCGACTGGGGGAGAGGGACGGAAGCAGACCGGAAACGTAGCAATTTCGTAGCTACTTATGCGTGTGGGACCCGAAAGCTTTGGCTTTAGCTCCCCTCCGTAATTCAATTTATAGCAAACCAGGAGAAAATTGTAGCCAACATTTTATTTTTCGCTGCGGCTTTCCTCATTTTTTATTTATTGACTGGCTGCTGCGAATGTGTTTGTGTGCGTGGTATGCGTTAAATTCCAATTAAATATTTCAATGGCAAATGCCGTCGGCCGCCCCAAAGCCCTCCCGTCCGAATTTTCCCTGGATTATACCGAAATTCTCCTCTGTTTTTGGCTTTCCCAAATTGTATTTTTCTATCAAGATGTATTAATCCACTTCTCTCTCTCTCTCTGTTTTTCGCCGTGCTTCAGCGTTCTACGCCGGAAGTTTTGGCAACACCTACTCAAAAAAAAAAAAAAAACAGAAAAGATGGATGAAATGTAAGTAGTCGAAGTTCTACCAACCGTCCAAACGCCCCGTTTCCCCTCTTCCCCCCTTTTATTTAGCGCTTGGCCATGTCTTTCTGTGCGGTTGGAGAAAAGTTATATTGGTTTGCGTGACTCTCAACAAAAGTGAAATAACAATTGCAGCAACAACAGCAAGGACAGGCCTGGAGTTCACCCACCACAACCGCCACCACCACCACCACCACCAGCACCACCCAAAATGCCAAAAACAAACAGAAGAAACAGGGCCAACATGAAAAAAAGAAAAATCTAAAGTGAAATTAGTATTTTAGTTATCCTCTGCCTGCTCACGAACCACACAATAAGCCAGGTACACAGAAAAATTGAGAACCTGAGGAATTTTCAGGTGGTTTGTTCGGCCGTTTTTATTTGGATTTGGATTTGGATGCGCGGTGCAGCGTAGGGTGATTGAGAAGTACTCAAAAGACGCTTTCTTTCAATCGAGAGTCGATAACCTAGACAATATGATAATTGGAGGGAAACTCGACGGAATTTCACGGGGATGTGGTACCAATGAGGAGCTCGCAAGTTGGCTTATAATGAATGAGTGATACTTGCAGAAGTTCTATCTATCTATCTACTATCTAAGTTCCAAAGTAAGAGTAATAAAAAGGATATTTTTACTGAATTACACGAGAAGCCCTCGCTGCAACCATCCACAATGAACTGTTACCGGCAGCACCTAACCTTTTGCTTTTTGAATTATTTAGTTGCCTGGCTAGAAAGTTTCAGCTTTCCGCTTTTGTTTCGACTACAGACACATGCCAAGTCGTTCGAGTTGTTTGATTTGGATGCGTGTATGTTTGTGTCCAACGGACGGCAAATTTAAAATGAAAATCTATTTGCGAGCGATTTGGAGCAGCTCGAATGAAAAATGAAGAGCCTTGCCGTGTCTGACAGGCCCGCTCGAATTACAATTGTGACGATATAAACTTTCATGGTGGATAAAAGGTAGTTAAATTGCTGTCTGGCTGCTCCTTCCCGGGATTTATCTCCTTTGTTTGTTGTTATGGCTGTTTTCGCAGACAGCCCGTGCACATGGATACAAGCACCCACACCCAGGCGCAACTAAACCGCATTTGGACAAGCTGGGCAAAGTCATAAGCTTTTGTTTTACTAGCCCCACCAATGCGGTTAGAGCTGCCATTCCACACCCGTCGTGGCGCTCCAGTCCACTCGGCAATCTCATAAATTGCATGACATGAGCTGCATACACACAGATACACACATGCATATATAGAAAGTCCTGTCGCATAAAATATACAAAGGGCACCAGCTGCTCTCCCACTCGCACCCGCTGGCAATTTATTTATCCACATACTCGCACATGCATATGGCCAACCCCTTGCTTGGGGATGGGGATGGGGGTTGGATACTTACCGATTGACAGTATGCCAGCATCGTTAGGTCGCAGGACGTGCGTGAAGTAGATTTTCAAACCCGAATTATCCGCCATTTGTCTGGCGTGCAATTGGGCAAAGTCGGGCTTCAAATTGTTGTAATGGGTCTCCATTAAATAATATTTCGCCTGCCGCGACTCGATCGGGTAGCCGGCCTCATGTGGATAAGTAAAGCCCTGCAAAAAGAAAGCCCGAGAATGACAGCAAGCAGCGGAAAAAGGGTTACAATGGATGGACTGGGCTGGACTGGGGGAATATGTTGAGTGTTTGTTGTTGTACTCGCACACGAGTGTGTGTATATATGTATGTATAAGTTGGGGGAGGCGCTGGGTGGGGCTGCCCGGAACGGAAGTGGATGCCATGGCCATGTGCAATTTAAATGCAGCCATCGGAGGAGTCCTTGGCCGGCTCCACCCCGCAACTTGCCATCTCGTCCATTGCCATTCAATTGCAGTGCACAGCGCCCCTGGCGGACAGCAGCCGAAACATGCCACTGCATTATGGCGCTCTTCTGATGAAATTATAAAAGCCGTGCCCTGAGTCCTCGAGCTGCTCGGAAAAACAAAAACACGGATCGGACGGAGGGGTCAGGGGCCAATAGGGCCAAGGTATTCATTTTTTCGATACACTCTGTAGCGTGCGGAGTATGTGCTCTCCGGAGGAGCAACTTGAAGGATCACGTTGGTTCTGTCTTGATTGTAAATGAGATTTTATCATAATCAGTTTTTATCAGTTTTTTTACTAGCGATCTCATTTCGAAACTAGAATCAGGAGGGGTTCCTTATTACTTTTAAGGAATAAATAGTAATCAAGATATAACTCTAAAATTCCTATTTCCTGTGTGTGGCGAGCATAAACTGAAGTTTTGTGGAATTCGCTTGACTAATGTCCTTGCGAATTACTGTTACGGACGACTTAGGGTAGCAAAGAGTTCGTATAGGCTCCTTTGCCATGGCTTTTTCTTGTTTTCGCGTTGAAAGGAGGCATTTGCGAAGGTTAAATTAATATTGCATGGTTATGGTTATGACGAAAATGGTCGAGGGTATTGGGTCTCGGGGCATCGGGACATCGGGTTCGAGGCTTTGGGCTTGGGGGCATGGGGCATCGGGGCCGGAGATTGTGATTCCGTTCTCGGATGATTATGCTTACCTCGCTGCCGCGCGACCAGGAGGCCACGATGGCGTTGCACGCCAGCGGAATGGACCGGGCTCCGAGGCACGGGCGGCCCTGCTCGCGTGCCATCTCCTCCAGCTCCGCGTGGGCACCCTGGCACTCGTGCAGCGTTATGTGCTGCAAGTAGTGCACGCTGGACGATGAATCATAAATCGGCTCGTACTGCAGCCATGAAAAGAAAATGAAGCGGAGGACGGGAGACAACGGTTAGTGATGTGATGTGCATGGTGCATTGTGGGAAAGATAGGGCGCGCGAGACGGGGATAAATTTTTAATATTTCAATTTGGTTATGCCGAGGCCAAGAGACAACGGTGGCTCACAATGCGGAATACAGCCGGCGGAGAGCTGGAGCAGTGACTGCCAGACAAAAGCGGAATGCCCGAACGCGTCACTGCACTTGGCCTTAATTATGCATTGTATTTAATGTCGTTTAGTCCTGCGCCCAAAATGCTCCTGCAAAAATGTTCGAAGGAGGTGCAGCAGTTGGACTTTAATGTGTCCTTCTATGACTATAACTAAGTTGGATTATATTTTATTAAAATTTATTATGTAAAGGTATTAATGTCCTGTTCACTAGGCAAATATCGCGCTCTTAACTTGTTACTTTAATGCAGACGAATCATATCTATATTCAAATGGTAAGCGAATCTGTACAAATTTAGTAAATTATCCCGGTAGCAGGGAGGGGCCTTGAACCGAATTTCCTTACCCGGATCAGGTGGTGCTTGCGATTGATGTCCTCCAGCTTGAACATCTTGCACCAGAAGAGCGGAAGGTCGCCGGCGGGCAGCTCCACATCCTCGTTGCGCAGCTCCAGGACTCGCACGCGCTCGTCGTGCGTAGGCGAGGGCATCGGCAGCTGGGCGCGCTGCATGAGGACCATGGGGCGGTAGGGGCGGAAGGCGCGGGCCGGGTCCGGAAGGGTGCCAGGACGCACCGAGCCGTGCGGCGGATCCTGGGCGTGGTACATGTACAGCAGGCGCATCGTGTCGTTCTGCAAGGAAGAGCGGATAATGGCGGGTTGAAAAATGAGAAATGTGTAAAAAATTAGTTGCCAGAGGTGGTCAAGGTGGGGTCGTCGAAATGGCGTTATAATGGCGCTGCAACAACCCAGCAACAGCGGCAATAATGTCCTTGCTGACGTGTACACGGATGCACTGTCTGGCTGGGAGTGCCCCTCGTGGACCGGAAGCCGCCCTGCCTGCTAAATGAAGTACACACTCGCAAAAAAGGCAGGAGCTCGCGCTTGCGAGTTGGGCAACCGGTAACAACAGGGCAGGAAGGAAGCAAGGATGTTTGCCTGTGGGCAGAGCGGCCAGTTGGCAACGAGGGACGAAGGTTGCAGGACTATGGGGCAGGTGGCTGGGATGTTTGGTCAGCTGCAGTCGGCAGCTGAAGTTGCGCATTGTCGATGGCGGGTTAATGGTGCAAATTGCATCGTACGCGAGAATGTTGCCGCACTTCACCCGGAACGAATGCCACTGGGCATCTTCATTGCTCGCCACTACTCCATGCTCCTCTGGCTCTCCAAGTGACCGCACCTTATTCATTCAATGCTCATTTAAGAAATGAATTCGGAGTTGCACTGTTGTTGCGTTGCCAAATTTCACGGGGGCAGACTGTACTTGTGCAGTTCAGATGTCTGCGCGGTGCATTTAGCTGAATTAAATTGCAATTGCATCTTTGGGTGCTCCCAGCATTCGTCTAGCTCAGCGATAGTTTCCCCGTTTCCCAGTTTCCGAGATTCGCTCCTCCCAGGAGGTCCTTTGTATAATGCAAGCTACGTACTGCATGTATTTCTCATTGGCCACGTAGTTTAATTGGTAAGCCCGAAAATTAAAGCAGTCATTAAAGAATCACGGCCTGCTCTATGAGTCCTTCGACTCCCCGGCTCCTCTGACTCACCCCTGACCCCTGGCGTCTGCCCCTGCCGAACTCTCGTTTGTGGACTGCCGTGGCCTCGGGGCTTTTGGAAGCCAACAGTCAGCTGTCATTGTGTGCACGTCATGTCCACGTGTGTGTGCAGCGACACAGGAGACACAACAATAACAACACATGCAGGCCTCGGTGTGTGAGTGCGGTGCAGTGAAAAAAAAGGACGAACGAACGTCGGGGGCATCCATTTGAATTCATTGTGGCAAAGTGCCCATTGTAGCTGTTAAGTGGAACTGTAGAGTACCATGTTCGACAATTGACGGCCAGGACGAGCAGAGTAGGACTAGTGGGGCCAGGTCCTTGTTTCTACTTGTTCATTTTGCCAGCAACGAGGAGACAATACTTTAATTAACAATTCCCTTTCCCCACTCCCACCAGCCCACCAGCACACCAGCCCACTGCCATCGCCGAACGAGGCAAAGTGTGTAAAAAACCTGTACAAATGAGTCGGTTGTCCTGGTTGTCCTGGCAAACACTGCGGGCGGTTGCAAACGCGGCGCACTAACCGCCCGGCAATCGCCAGTAACAACAACCCACAATAACAGCAGCGGAGCAGCAGAAGAAGCGGCGGAGCAGCAGGGCAGCAAAAACTGCTGGCCAGTTTTAAAACATTTGGTCAGGCGAGTGAAGGGAGCCGGGCAAAGGAGCGGGCGCAGCACAAAAGTCATTAACGCTGAGGCTACCGAAGCTGACTGGGCCTGGACATGGCCCAGATGTAAAAACATGACCAGTGTGGCAAAAAACTCAACGGTCAGTCCCCGGAAACACAAAGAAAAAAGAGGCCGTCGCTGGTCAGCGTGGCTCCGGACTGGGGAGTGACCTGTAATCGTTTAATTTGCGACCTGAAAGGGATTTGGATGTGGATTGCAAAGGTGGCAGGACAATGGCGCAGCATTGAGAGCTTATCAAAATGATGGTGCCACCGTCGGTTGAATGGTCAAAAGCTAGAGCATTCATGGCGTAGAAATTTAAAATGAAATTACTTTGTATCTCGGAAGTGTCAGTGGCTTTCAATTGAATGGGTGATCCTGATTTGAACAATTATTGCAGTTTGTATTCATGGGATCAGCAAGTAAAAATGAGTATTCTACAATTATAGATGCAATTCCACATTTCCTAGCTACATCTAAGCCTGTAGGAGACAATTAACGTAAATAAGCAAAATCATTTTCCTATCTGAAATTGCTGGTTTTTCATCTATAATATTCAAGTTCAAATAGCTCAGTTATTTAGGGGGCAATTCATAGTATCTAAGATTCCATTTGTGTGGCTGTGTTCTAGGTTATCTAAATTAAATTCCCAGTGTTCTAGTTCCCAGCTAATCATAAAGGTTATAGCAGAATAAATTGGCTTTGGAGATTTCGAGAACCCTGAACGCCGAACCCTTGGACCCCTTAAACCATGCCACCCCTCCAGGTGCTGGGCATCCTCTGCAGAGCTCTGTAGGTACGACCAAGTGTGAAAAAGTGTGCACCGAACTATGCACACGCACGACAAGGATGACGAGGAAGAGTCCGGCAGTCCGGCAGTCCGGCGAGTCCGGACGAAAAGAGCCCGGCCGTAGTCGGTGGAACAACAACTGCGAGGCGAAAACTAAAATGAAATGAAAAGCTTCAGCAAGGATTACAACCAAAAATTAATGAAAGCAAACTGGCTGCGGTCATTTGCCGTGGTCAACGGTCGGCCAAGGCTTAATTGCCAAAGACGATGACGATGACGATGTTGTGGGCACGGTGAACGGGCTGAAGGGGGTGGGCAATGGGGAGTGGGGAGTGGAGTGCGGTCAAGAATACAGGTTACACTTTAGTGACTGCTGCAGGACCAGAAGGACTCGAGGCTAATTGTGAATGCGGTGGGACTGGAGCTCGGACTTGGACGACTCATTAGAGTGGCTTTGGTTGAGACCCAAAAAACTTGCGAGGGTTGCAGGACGCAGCACGAACTACACACCAGCACAACCACACACACCGAGGCAGATGCAGCCTCGAATGGAGCGCTTGGCTGAGCCTGGCTGCCTGGTTAAGTGCACTCCAAAGGTCATTTAACCTCTGACTAGGCAGGTTTCACTGGTCGCAACGCGACGGGGGTGGCTCTAACCCCTTCGATTTCTCAGGGGGTCGGGAGCACTGGCGCCTTTTGGCCCGGTTTTCATTTAATTAAGCCTTGTTAACAACGCTGCAGATGCGCTCGTTTCGAATGCAAAATGTTTGTTTAGGCCTAATGAATATAGGTATTTAAATATGTTAATTTTAATCCGAAAACTATATTCCCTAAAACAGCTTAGCTTGGCTTAAGTAAATGATATAATGTCCTACCACATATCCTTGCTGCAAGATGGCTCAACAATGTGCGCTCTAACATTTTCTTCGAACTTTGTGAAAACTGCTTTGGCACTGAAAGTTCAGCTGCATATCATTGCAGTTGTTTCTTATTTCAGGCAGCCAACTCCTGCCTGCCCATTCGTCGGCACTCGGCATTCGTTCACACATTGCACCTTTAAGAGCCATTTGCAGTAGTTGTTAATGGCATTGTTATTCTGGGCGCCTTCCCCTCGCACTCTTTGTTTTTTGCCCGCTTTCGTTTGCCGTTTCAACGCGCTGCCATAATGGGCCAATTGTCCTTAAATGCGGAGCGTGTTCCGTTCGCTAAGTTGGCTCTGACTCCGGACCACATTCTGGACCAGACTCTGCCCGGCAATGGCCGTGGTAATGGCCCTGGAACTGCTTCTGGTCCTGGTCTTGGCCCAGTGGTCAAGTCGGAGTCCTTGGCCCGACACCGAAAACTTTGTCTGCGCTGGCCCCGTTTAATGTGCACGTAATTGAAATGCATTTACAATTGAATTATAAACAGAGCAAACAAATGCGGCACAGGACTTGCACACACATTTACATGAATTCACACTTGAGCGGGGAAATGGAAAAAGGGAAATGGGAAATGGGCAACTGGCATTGTGAAAACTTTCTGCAGCAGCTGAGCGCAAAACCCACGGTCCATTCCATTCCTGCTGCTCCTCTTTTCAGGCGACTTCCTCCTCACTCGGCAATCAAATCAACCATTCCCCAGAAACCCGTGTCCTTTGGATATGTGTGTCTGTTCCTGCGAGTGCATGTGCCTGCATTAGGGTGACCCTCGAAGGTTTTATCCTCTCATTTTGCCAGATAAATATATCAGCCGTACGCAATGTAGCTTGTACCGAATCGCAGATGTTTTGAAAAGGTCACATTACACTCCATCCATAACTGACTGGAAGAACATGCACCACATGTGACCGTGAGCAGGCTTTTTGGGCTACCCTAGTGTGAATGCCAACCAGGTTACCTAGGTCACGTCGGCCATTTTTGTGAGTGGCTGTCGGGGGATCTGCTCTTCTTAGCCGTTTTACACTAGCCAAAGCACATTGAATATCAATTTTGCATGTGGGAAATTACATCGGAAACTTCGATTGCCACTCAGACGTGCCCAAGTTGCCCTGACATTTCCTCGATTTCTCGCAGTGTGTGCCAGTGCCTTTGCTTGCTGTGGCATTTATGCCATTCCAGTCATCAGTTGGGACTTGTGCAATTTCGGAACTTTCTGACAGCTGATTTCAATAACTAATAGGCAGAAGTGGTCACTCCCCCCGAACCCTTTTGTTGCAGCCTAATTGCCGTGTCAGCCTCTGTGATTGCCTTCGACCGGAGAGAAATCATTGCACATTGTTGACAACCCTCTCGAGCGGAGGCAGCCCACATGCATCATGACATCTTGGGGCACAGCTGGAGGCTCAGACCAGGCGGAATAAGAAGAGTGGCCAAAGCAGCCGAAATATTCGAGTTAGTCCCAGGCCTGTAATCGTTTTTCGACACTCTCTACGTCTCCGCAAAGTGGCTTAATGATTTCTGTTTCATTATATTGAGTCCTTTGAGCCGAACCTGGCCAGAATGTCTGGACACATTTGTGCCGAGCCGGGCTGCTGTTGTTGTTGTTGTGTTCGGTGCAATTGACATTAATTTGATTTATTTATGGTACGAAGGCAAAGGCCATTTGGCTCAAGGTGCAACTGCTTTCGGCAATTGCATT